GTCTGTGCAATCATCGTCTTTAGCCGTTTGCATGAACAGAGCGTCTCTCTATTCATAACTTTTCAAATTTATGATATGAAGGATCGCAGAAATGAATACTCCTCTCCAAAAGCAGAAATTCCCCTACCATTGTTCTCCATGTTGCATGCTAATCTCTTGGTCGACATCTATCATCTTTCGGCTCTCATCTGAGAGGCTCATTTGCTTGAGTAAATGGTTTATGCTCCATGAGTTTGTCTAACAGGATCAGTCTTCTCTTCTTCATGTTCACGTCTACTGAGGTCATCTCTGCTCGTAAGACAATAGTCCTTCTTTACGTCATGCTACCATTTAGCCCTCATTTTGCGTCGAAGCCAACGTTGGTGTTAAAGTTCATTCGTCGCACTTGTTCATTCTTTACAACAGCTGTCTTCACGCCCTGCAACAGCAGTACCCTGGGAGAGGTTAGGTACAGGCAGACTGTTATAGGAAGAGCTATCCGTTTCTCAGCTTTTGACAAGGCTAGTATGACCGTCTCACAATGCAAAATAGAATGAAAACAGTATTATGATCAAAAATCAGTGGGCTTAACTCGGTTAATCCAGTCATCTTTAATCTTGCTTCTGCACCTGTTAGGGTGATAGCTTCGAAGGATGACATTGTATGCTGGGCGAAATATGTTCAGTTACATTCTTCCTTTTAACATTTATGTAGCTCGTGAGACCAATTAAAATTCCCCAAGCACTCGGCTAACGTGGCATTGGTTAGCGAGGTTTGAGGGTTCTGTTTGTCTTTAGCTCAGAACTGAGCAATCACAATTATTCTGATTCAAACCCCAGATTGAGGAATGCAGGAAGTGGAACACAGATCTTTTGTTTAAATGTCAAAAAGTATGTTAATTCAACTGACTTTTCTCGTTCAAGGCTACTTGCTTAACTGTTCCTGAGAAGATGCGAAGACATTCAATACCTTCAACCGTAGAACTTATATGAAATAACAAAACAGTAGAGATAAACCACTGCAGATTTATGTCGAGATGTACCAACGGAGAGTGAACATTTAGTTGGGTAAGGCAAGAGCATCCTCATCATTTTCAAGCTGTTTGCGCTTCATGGTCCTTTGCCGGTTGTAGGTTTACTGAGTGGTCGTATCGTCAACATTGTATGACATGGAATGACGATTAGTGAGTGAAACAGTTTCTGAACAAAAACTCGGATATTTCATCCCACGCAAAAAAAATTTTACACACTGAAAATGAAGGAGAAATGACTGCCAATAAGTTAGTCAATTTTTATGTCGTTTTCAGAAATCACAATATCTTGATAATTCCTCGACTGGCTTTGTTGATGCCCAGCATCGGTGAAAAGCTTTTCACCCAAATCAGCAAACCGCTTAGCGAAGCATCCACTGCGTTAAACATAGCTGATTGCTCGAGTCAGTTGCATCAATGGCCTGCAAGTGTTGAAAGAGGCAAATATCTAAACTGCGTTCATGCTAGGAAGGTTCAGATTGCAGGCTTGCAGGCACAAATAGCAAATTGTAAACTGTTTGCTTTAACGGTAAAATTCGTGATGTATTACGGTAGGCGATTGCAGGTCATCTTCGACTTCGACTTCTATTCGATTTTTAATCATATTCCAATGCCGTACTTAGGAATATGCGAATCTATCAGTTTACCTTTGTAGTTGCTGTATTTGTTAGGTGATCATCTGAACTTGTAGTTTTTAACTATATTCGTCTGAGCTAAACGCGAAATTGGTGTGCATTTCTGTTTCAGCAAGAGCAAAGGCTTTTCACCATATTCCACCGCGAACTGTTTTGCTGGACGGATCAGTGGTACGGTCTGACGATGGCAGACATTCGGACTATCGAAGACGAGACGAAGACAACTTTAGATAAAGTATGAGTTCTTTCTTAATTTACTGTTTGTGTAGAATCATCAAAAAATTCTGGTTCTAGAAAAAACGAAACATTTAATTGGCATTGTCAAAATATCGATAAACGACATTAAATAGTAATACATAATATTTGTATTTATGTGTTCCAGCAGTGTTCTGACTGTATCTATAATTAGAGATATACCAGGTTTCGTAAATAGACCGTTCGCAAAGAATAAGGGTCAAAAAGGCCAACCCACACCCGTGTTAACGGTCGGTCGTTATATTTTGAGACGTTTAAAGTTTCGCTCGTTTTGTTGTTACCTCCTCTGCGATAGTGGTTAACTCGTGTATGGCGCTTTCGCTAATAAACTGTGTGCAAATAGAATTGCACTACTTCTTCGAGCATCATTGCCGACGAGATGACCGAAGATCGGAGCGAGATCATCGGGTCAAGTCGCGCACAGATTCAGTATCATTAATTGCCATGAACATGACGTCAATCAATCAGTCTACCTATCTAGTTATTAGTTTAAGTGAGGTTGCTATGAACAAGAAGTGTTGTCACAACTGAAACTGTACAAATTGAAGAAAGTAATAAGAAACACGTAGAGAAAAGAAACGCATACACCAAGTAGTTTGCTGAGGATTGGTCGACAATGCCGAGAACGTTAAATTTCTTAAGAACTTAAGCGACTCAAAACATTTACTACGCAGAAACCAATATCAGCTTTGCCTCTGAGGAAGGAGAGTTGTGTTTGTGTAACTGAACAGGGACTACAAAGCGACAAAAGATTGTTCACCGACTTCGTTCTTCACGTTTAGCAGTTCAGGCCGCAAAGCTCATAGGAAAGGCTGGAATCAATCATCAGTGAACTGCCATGTCGACGGGTCATCAAATTAAGTCAGACATATGAATTGATCTGCGGCTATATCAGACCTTGCCAGGGACAAGAAGCGATGACCAGCAATGAAGGAACATCGTAAATCTCTGCGGCATTCGATAAGTTAATTGTTCCAAGTTACTGTAATCAACACAGTTGTGACATACAACGTGCAACGACTGTTTTATGCCATGAATAATCTTTTTGGTTTTGGACCGTATTCCTTTCCATCATGCCTAAAATAACGAACAGGCTTAGCTATTGAAGAAGATATCTCTGCCAAAAGGGACAGGGTTTGTGAAAACCTTAGGCCGCAGTTTTGCAGCGTGAATATTTAATTTGGAAGAAAGAGATTAAGCGAGTTTAGCTTGCGATGGTAGAAGAATACGCGTACCGATATTACTTAATCTCGACTGACATATTTCAAGGTTGTTGTGTTGTGTTATTCACCCTCACATTGATACTGGCTACGTAAGTCAACGCTGCATCACGTATATATTGTCCACTGCTGATAGTAATTTAATTTTAAATTCAAATGATTTAATTTGTATTCTTTCGTAGTAATTCCACTGGAGATAATGATGTTTTGTTTCTTGCGTTTGCTTTATCCCTAGGAATTCACTCAGGCGCAACATCAGTAGATAATATGTAAATGAAGTTTCTGATTCAACGGCTGTAGGCACGAAGAGAATGGAAAAACGCTTTCAGGGGATCGTTTCGTAAGGGTATGGTATTGTCGATTGTCAGCGCTGACAGTAGGCAACGTCAGGACTACCGGAAATGTTGTCACTAGACTATGATAGAAATTTCTTCTTGCCAACAGCTGTTTGATAAGCAAGTTTTTCTTATCTTTATATCTTATCTTGTCCATTTCATCCGTATTCACTATACGTATTATCCACTTAGTTTCAGTGTAAAAATAGAGCAACTAATTTTAAGCTTGATATTGATAAATGCTTAGCAAATAAATGAGCAGTTTATTCACGATTAAATGAATGAAAGTAAATAAATAATGGTAAATTATGACTAATCATAATAAATGAGCACGCCGTGAAATTCAACATTAAAGTGGTTAACCGCCTGCATTTGGTACATTAATAGAATTATGTCTAATGATGCCACCATTATGAGGAGTATGTTGATATTGATCTAATAATACAAAGAATACGACAATATAATATATTATATAACGAATGAATAATAGACCTATGAATTGTATTGCTGCATTAATTATTTATGTACTGCTATGCATAAAGTATAATAGTAAAAGTGCATCTAGTAGTTTATTGGTACCAACAATATATATTAACACCTTGGCATGACTAAAGAACTTGGTGTTGTGTATAAAAAATATCGTTTTATGCATTGTAGGTCATGAAACTTCTTCAGCTGAGTATATTGTGCAACAACGTTAAAGCGTTTTGTTGAATCAGAGTGGTTAGTTTTTTCAACGTTGTAAGATTTACAGCTCGATTTCTGACACACTCTGGAGATGAAATCAGCGGTAAACGCGAAGTCTAGCTACTTTACCCTGAAGAAGATCAGTGAGATATAGACAGCGGCCGACAGTAGTTTATTTGTTAGGATAGTTCGTTCGATTAATCAGTAATTTCCTCGTTGTGCTACAAAACTGTGTGTTATACTATTTTAACGTCTGTCAGCGAAAGGCGTATGTATATAACGTGATACTATTTCATATATATTCTTATTATCCGTATGCCGTTAATATTGATACCGATAACAAATTACCTCAAGTAATTGTAAAACAAATTTCATGATTAAATATAAATGTCTTCTTCAACCGGATCTTAATCTTAAATATAGAAAGTAATAGTGTAGTAGCTATCTGTGAGCCAGCTTTGACAGTTGTTCGCGAAGCTGACGCTGCTTGCCGATAGATGATGGTCTGTCTCTACCCAAGCCGCATTGGCGCGGCGCTGCTTGCTTGGTAATTTGAAAACTATTCTGAATTGTTGCTTTTTGTTTTACATATGCTTGTTTAAATAAACTTTTTTCAGCAACGTCAAGAAGGAGCTGTACGCGGCTTGGCAGCCACCGACTGAATACACTTGGTTAACGGAAAGTTTTGAATATCATG